CAAAAGAACGGCTTCAGGATCACGGCCAATTGCTTTCGGCTCATCTCGTTTCTTGCACTGCGCAAATGTTGACCTTTCGCAACTAACGCTTCTGCCAGCTCAGACGAACGCCCTGTCAATGTCCCGATGTTTAGCGTTGCGACGTGAGCCTTCAACACGTTGCGTGATTTGACTAGCTTAGTTGCCTCCGATGTAGTCCGTGCATTCTCTACGTTACGTTTCTCCGCGACACCGTAAAATCGACGCGTAACCCACATGGCTCCTTGCCTTGTAATGTGGCATGGGGTATCCGCTGGTCGGCTCGCCACGAAGGACTGTCTGCATTCGAGGGTCGCGTTAGCAGCGCAGAACGGAGCAGTTCGCAGTGGCATCGCGTGGAGAAGCGCACATAATCACCAAAGGGATACTCCACCGAGCAGTCCTTCTGGCGAATAATGAAATACATTCCAACACATTACTCTCACGTTTCGACAAAGAACAACTTATCCTTAGAACTGGGGAGCTAGAGGGGGCCTTAGTTAACTTTGTAAGAAGTTGGTGGTGAATTCGATCTGAAACTTCCTGTACAGGCCAGTGTAGAACCTAAACTCAATTCCCAAGAGCTGGTCGAATCCTTCATCGAATTATTAACTTGAAGTAATTCAAAGACGTGTAATCTAGAAGTGGACCACATACGTCATACGCGTACAGGTTATCGAGTGCAGGATATTCTTCAACGTTGCCAGTTATCACATTGAAGCATCCTCCATGCAACGAACAGCGTAATCTGCCATTTGAATAAACACCTGAAAATGAGCATTTAGTTTGGAGTTCTGGATCAGAAAAAGGGTGAAAGATAAGCCGACAGCGGGATCCAATAAAAGGTGTATCCACTGTCAACCGTGAAGCAACTTGTAACCTCGAAGGGTTCGTCCCGTACGAGGGGTATTAAGAGGGTCCAACAACATCCCAAGACGAGTCGTAAAGAAGGTTCATGAATGGTGAACGTGAAGCTGTGCGAGTTCGGAATTTGATGAATCAAAGTAAGCGCGTTACATTGAATTGGATGAGTGCGAACTCAAGGTAAAAAAATAGTTTTTATTCTAGCTCAGTGAAAAAACGTACATCCACGCAAGTGCTGTACTGTTTCAGACACATACTGCTCGATAATTCTATCATATAATGGTAACGCTGTCTGTCTGTCTGTCTGTCTGTCTGTCTGCCTGTCTATCTGTCTGTCTGTCTGTCTGTCTGTCTGTCTGTCTGTCTGGCTGGCCTGCCTGGCTGGCTGTCTTCCGTTTTTCTGTCTGTCCGGAAATTCGGAATCACCTGAAGAGCCAGTTGGAGGGGCGGGTCAAGGGTGGGTTGGGTAGGGCATGAGCCAAGATGTACGGAACAGCATGCAACTAAGTAGCCCGCGCCACTGTAGGTGGGGGCCGTTCGCGGCGAAGTGAACGGTGAAGTGAGCGGCAAAATCTCAAAAGCATGATGAAAAACCCAAAATGGGGAGTAGGTGCAAGCTGCTGGAATGGTTTGAGCAGATTGAAGTTAGTGTGGGATAACCCTAGACAGTGTACCAAATGGTTGGTACCGTCGGCAATACTCAATTCTGTGATTCCTCATCACTAAGGGAGTGCCGCATAGAAAATTTTGACGACTGTCTTCTAGGGGGGGTATATACAAAGAAAGGGTAAAGTGCACTAATTCTTAAAATAATATTTTTTGACCATTCGCTCGGCGAAGACGGCCGATCCGACTGGCCCTCCCACTCAAGGAAAACTTCTCATTAGGACCCACTTCACACGCGGAAATCTCATTAGGACCCACGTCACACGCGGAAAGAGGATCGGCCTGGCTCTCGTGTGTATTGTCGGGTTTTCGCCATCAGAAAAATGCCTCCTGGCTTGACTGTATTTTCTTCAGTAAGAAATAATAGTGTCATAGCCGGAAATGAAACTCATCATTCTCCAGAGAGTCCTTGTAAGAGCAAACGCCAGTGGTCGCATAAAGCGTTCCGTTATCGTTTATAACGAGTATTGGTTTGTTTTTCACAATGAATACTTTTTTCCTGAAGAGATGCGATGAAAGAATTAAAAAGAATGAGAATGAAGCAAGATTAAGAGCATCCTCGACTCACGTCCCGGGAGGCACCTCTTCGGCCTTCCCAATCACTTCGGTGACAGCTGGAGATGAATCGTAACCCGCTTCTGCAGTCGCGAGCATCCTGCACTAGGAACAAAAGATTTCAACTGAAGATCAGAGAATTGGCTGAATCAGAGCTCAGCCACAGTTCAAACATTGTAGCTTCAGAATAGTATCCGGGGATTGTGAACTTCTCATGGCGCCTCTGTATCTAACGCCTTCATCAACCCACTGCGCTCCGCAGAGTGTTGCAGACCGTCATATCGACATTGTCCCAAGAGGGAGGGCCGTAATAACAGGTATTGTAAGGATAGCCACAAAGACTGGATGGAGAACTTGTTTGGAGTAATCAGTGATAGGGCGCGATCATAGTGATCAAAGCAGTAGCCTGCTGTATCCTCATGGATGCTCTTTGGAGCTACAATACCGTAGAAGACTGTGTTCTTCTATTGATTGGTTCAAACTAATGCTTTCAGCGCTTTTGTTCGTCTTCGCAATGTTGAAGGACAGTCACGGCATCGGTATTTCGGCAGAATCGGTGTAAAGATCGCCTCTAAAAGGACTACGATTCTCTTCGCATTGTATGATAGGTATGATCAACTATGAGAGCTGAAATCAAACGTCCTGCATGGGAGGTGGTGATGTGATGCAGTGGTGCGGAATAGATCGGATCCAAAAATGTTTCGTACGTCATACTGTCTGCAGGGACAGCGTGATCGGTTGTATCTGTTGGTACGTGTTCATAACTGCGAAAATGGGAATCGGAACACTGTGTCTGGCAAGAGAAGTGAGAGAAACCTGGAAAAGGCGAACTCTGAAGCGAGGGACGTGTTAAGACGGAGCGTTACTACAGGGATTGAACGGGGTAGCCACAAAGGCCAGATGAAG